ACGTAGTATACCTCGGGTCAACTCCAATAACAAGCAGTCAGATATGTCCCGACGAAAAGTTAAAGCTTATGCTCGGGAGGCTCAGAATGCCGAGAACCGAGTCATGAATGTTGATCTTCGGGATACGATCAATAAACGGAATTGCCCCATTACATTCAGCATTGAAGACGCCAATTTGTTTGCTCATCCTCATTCTGATGCTCTCATCATAACTACCCCAATTGGCGGAATCCCTGTTCATCGAATCCTAGTCGATACAGGAGCGTATTCGAGTATCTTAATGCTCCGAACCTTCAAGAAGTTGGGTTTGGACCCAGCAGATATTAGGCCGTGTAATGATCAGATTCAAGGTTTCAATGGGAGCATCTCTTGCCCTGTTGGCGAAATATTGCTCCCTATCCGATTTGGAGGCTTTGGGCCGAAGTCCAAGATTATCATGGAAACCTTTAAAGTTTTGGATGTCCAAAATGAATAATATAATGCTGTAATTGGGCGAACCGCACTCTATAAACTTCGTGCTGCTGTCTCGATTTTTCATTATGCCTTGAAGTTCCCTACCATTGAAGGAGAAGGCACTCATTATGGAGACCAACGAGAAGCCCGAAGTCTGATGCTGCTTACAACTTCGCCTGACTTTCATATGATTGAAGGACGAGATTTTAATAGCCTTGTTGAGCTAAATAATTTAGTTCCTTGTCATGAGCAAGTTGATCAGTTCACCTCGGACACCGACATGCCTCAAGTACCGACATCTGATACCGACATCCCTATGACGTCGGTCTCGTCTAAAATATCAACAGAAGTCCATGGCCAAGAACAGTCTGCCCATGAAGAAGGCATAAAGATGCATGAAGATATGGACCCAAGGATGCAGTTCAAAGATGGAAGCCATCATATTCGAGCGGAGCCTGTTGAAGATATTGAGGTCATTTACGTGGACGGGTCAGAACAACAGAAGTCGCTGCGTAATGGGGCCAATCTGCAAGAACCCCTTCGGTCAAGTTTGATTCAATTCCTCCAGTCAAACACTGATGTATTTGCATGGAAGCATGAGGACATGAAAGGGATCGACCCACAGAAGGCATGTCATCGTCTTAATTTAGACAAGACTGTCAAACCGGTTATTCAGAAACGTCGGAAATTTGGTCCAGATCGCCAAAAGGCTCTTGAAGAAGAGGTAAATAAGCTCATCAATAATAAATTTGTTAAAGAAGCCAAGTATCCGACGTGGATATCGAACCCTGTCTTGGTTAAGAAAGCAACCGGCCTTTGGCGTCTCTGCATAGATTTCTCTGACTTAAATCAAGCCTGCCCGAAAGATAGCTATCCCATTCCACATATCGATTATATGGTGGACGCTACGTCGGGACACCAACTCATGAGTTTTTTGGATGCCTATTCAGGCTACAATCAGATTCCCATGCATCCAGATGATGCTGAACATACCTCATTCTATTCAGCCCGTGGCCTCTATTGCTACGTTATGATGACTTTTGGATTGAAGAATGCAGGGGCCACGTATCAGAGATTGGTCAATAAGATGTTTGCTCGTTTAATTGGCCATACCATGGAAGTCTATGTAGACGACATGTTGGTGAAGTCGGAACAGGCCGCCGACCATATTGCTCATCTCTCCGAAGTCTTTGATATACTCCGAGAATACTCCATGGTACTTAACCCTAAAAAATGTACTTTTGGAGTTGGGTCAGGGAAGTTTCTAGGGTACATGGTGAGCCAAAGAGGGATCGAAGCCAATCCTGCCAAGATTCAAGCCATACTTGACCTAGCTCCCCCGACATCTCTCAAAGGCGTCCAAGCCCTAACCGGTCGGTTGGCGGCCCTTAATCGGTTCATTTCAAAATCTACAGATCATTGTAAACCATTCTTTGATGCCATCAAAAAGAAGAAGCCGTTTGAGTGGACCGTGGAATGTCAAAATGCTTTTGACAACATTAAACAAGTTCTCTTGCAGTTACCAACGTTGCAAAAGCCACTTCCCGATGAGCCCCTCTATTTGTATCTTGGTGTAAGTAATGTTGCAGTTAGTGCTGTCCTTATACGTCAAGACGGACTTCAGCAGTTTCCAGTGTATTATGTTAGCAAGGCCTTGCATGACGCGGAGTTGCGATATCCGCATATGGAGAAGCTGGCCTATGCTCTGATCATTGCTGCACGAAAGTTGCGCCCATATTTCTTGGAGCACTCAATTGTTGTGTTCACGGCATATCCTCTCCGACAAATCCTTCATCGACCTGACACGTCGGGAAGAATGATCAAATGGGCAATCGAGTTGGGACAGTTCGATATACAGTACCGGCCACGAACCGCTATCAAGGCCCAAGTATTGTCTGATTTCATTGCTGAATTTACCCCCGCTGTCGATTCATCCATTGAAGATCCGACATGGACTCTCTACATTGACGGATCGTCTACCGCTATACGAGCTGGGGGGGGATCGTCCTGGTCAGCCCCGATCAGCAGGTGTTTTGTTACTCTGTAGCATTCACTTTTCCAGCCACCAATAACGAAGCCGAGTACGAGGCCCTCTTATCAGGACTACACTTTGCCGAGTCCATGAATGTTTCTTCTCTTCGGATATTTTCTGACTCCCAATTACTAGTCAGTCACATCAACGGCACTTACGAAGTAAAGGAACCACGGCTGTTGCCCTATTTTGATCTTGTTAAAAAGAAGCTGGCGCGATTTAAAATGACGCTGGAACATATACCTCGGTCATCTAACATCCAGGCAGACGCTCTTTCGCGACTGGCCTCATCAACCGACTTGGATAATGTTGAATTTGTACAAATCACTCAACAAGCGACCTCATCCACAGTCTCTACCGACGTCGCTATGATTGATGCCACCTCAGTAACTCTAAATTCCACATGGATGGATCCGATCATCGATTATCTCCGGACCGGGGCCTTACCTGAAGACTTGAAAGAAGCTCGTGCCCTCCGTGTTCGTGCTGCCCATTACACCATCGATGAAGGGACGTTATATAAACGCGGGTATTCAACTCCACTGCTTAAATGTTTGTCAGAGGAAGATGCCCAACGAATCTTGCAAGAAGTACATGAAGGAGTCTGCGGCACCCACCAAGGAGCTCAAACTCTGTCTCATAAAATTCTCCGACAAGGCTACTATTGGCCTACCCTTCGGAAAGATGCTGCGGATTGGGTACGACGATGTCACAAATGTCAGATATTTGCTCCCAATGTCAATCAACATCCTGAACTCCTCACATCAATATATAGTCCATGGCCGTTCGCAAAATGGGGAATTAACTTAATCGGCCCACTCCCGACAGCAAAGGGAGGAGTTCGGTTTGCCATATTAGCTGCAGATTACTTCACCAAGTGGGTTGAAGCTGAGCCCCTTACTACTATCACCGAGCAAAAAATGGTAGATTTTGTTTGCAAATCAATCGTTTGTCGGTTTGGTGTCCCCAATTCCATTATAACCGACAACGGTCATCAGTTTGAAAGCAAACGATTTGAAAGTTTCTGTGAAGATTACGGTATTAAGCATTTCTTCTCGTCACCTTATCACCCACAAGCCAATGGACAAATAGAGGCCGTAAACAA